GATCAGATCTTGATTATTTTTATGTATCAATTCAAAGATTGAGTCTTGTTAATTAGTTGGATTTGAGTTTGTATGTGATACTGATCTACATTGATGAGAATGAGTAATGTTCGTAGATCTGATTGGATTAGATTTCAATTCTTTGTGATTTTGACTTTTTTGTTTTGTTGTGGCTAATGTTACTGTTACCCATTATGTCTGTTCCCCATGGTGACAAGGATTTACTTGATCTTTTACTCTATTTACTGTATGTTTCTCCTATAGTTTATAAGGCTATTAATAGGCTGGAGGACCATGTTGATTTTATGGGGCGGTGGGTTACTTTTTAGGTTGAAATAAAAGAATGAGAGTTTTGATTATGAAATGGATGATGAATGCTTGCAGGTCTGACAATGCACTTAGAGCCATCGAGAAAGCAGGACGAATTGACCCTGTAAACGTTGAAATCTCAGTTATACTTAACAATGTGAAGTTGGTTGGTCGAGCTCGTGCTCGTGGGAATGATCTCTTCAAATCAGAAAGGTATACTGAAGCCTGCTCAGCGTATGCTGAAGGACTCAGGCATGATCCTCTGAATCCCATTCTCTACTGCAATAGGGCAGCTTGTTGGTTTAGGCACCAACAAATTCAAACACGTCTTATAATTTCCTGTTGATTTGTGGGAATATCAATAAAGCTAAACATGGAAGACTACTTGATTTAAAGAATAACAAAAATGAACAGAAATTGGGACAGTAGCCCCATATGCATTATCTTTTTGCTCTGGCATTCTTGTGCAACCTAAATTAGCAAGGGAACTTCTGGCTTTTAATTGTACCTGTACTTTTAAAGTCATTTTTATTACATAAGTTAGGATTTCATTGTCAACTCAAAAACAAAAACAAAAGTGTATGTCTCTGTTCTGCAAGTCAACAAAATCGTCTGCTACTGCCAAATGTTACTGGGTATTGTTATTGAAGACCTCTTCTTTAATAAGAATCTTGTCACTGCGGATTGCTAAAGTGTATTATTACTAACTATTGTGAATGTAGTGAAATGAATTCTGGTAGACGATAACCCATAGCATTTGGCGGAAATGACTTGTAGGGGTAAAATTGTTTGATCAAATTTTTTGTTTGCCAGAATCATTGGTAGGGATCAATTGGGTCAACTAGTTTTTGATTTTGNGCGGGAATGACTTGTAGGGATAAAATGATTTGATCGAATTTTTTTGTTTGCCAGAATCATTGGTAGAGATCAATTGGTTCAGCTGATTTTTGATTTTCTTTTTGGTAGCAGCAAAATCATAGATAGTTTGTATGGATGGAGAATTTTTTGAGCATATTTTATTTTTTAATTTGATTTTCACATATTTTGTGGATAATATCTTGCAGGAAAAATGGTTGAATTGATTCAAGAGTGAAACCAACCAAAAAGTAAAAAAATTAAAACAATCTGAGGCAATTTTCATTATATGCACTGATTTGGGATGGCCTGGGCTTTTCAATTTTATTGCTCCCCACTATTGAAATCGAAACTTCATACACATAACATTCTGAAAAGTGATCGAGTGAAATGTGGGGGTACATAGTCTGCACCATATTAAGTGTTTGGTGATAGCAAGAAGTTGATCTTCTTCAGGGGCACTCACCATTTGATTAGGGAGGTTTTCTGGGGTGGAAAAATTTTCTTATATACTGGGTTTCTTAGATACTCGTGTATCTTAGATAGATCTCTGTAATTTGGTTTGTTTCTTAGTTATGGTGAAGTAACCCAAGAGTGACGTTTCATGATTTTCTCCATCCCTTGGAATCTGTTTTCTTAAACTTGCTATCTTTGCACATTTAACTTTTGTGCATATATTCTTTCTGAGTGAGTTTTATTGTGTTTCTGGGTTTACTGCTTATGGTAATTTCAGTTCAATCGTGGCTTTAGATGTTAAAGTCTGTGAGGGTCGATAAGCTCGTTGTATCTGCCTTTCCCAGTGTAGTGGAGACATGGACAAAGGTTTTTGGCTTCGAATCCCTGGAAGACGATGAGAGACAAAGTTTGAGCAAAATTAACCTCATGGTGTTTCCAGGATCCATATGGCTGAAGAAGCCTTTGTAACAGAATACCATGCATCAAGAAAATGGTGAGGATTCTGTTTTTGAGATTTTTTCGTCCTTGTTTAAATGTTTGGCTGTGTTTGAAGTAAGAAAAATGTAACACC